AAATAAGTATCTGAATCTCTGTTCCATTTTGTCTTGATTTTTAAGACTTAGCTCTAAGAGGAAAATAGAATTTGTCTAAATTCCAAATTTTCCCCGATCCCTTTCCCTCCCTATTGATCCAACATTTTAAAAAATCAATAAAATGAGTACTATAGCATATAACAAAAATATGACCACTGTTGCTGTAAGTCTGGGGTAAGACAAGACAAACTAGAATGGAAATAAAATTTTCAAAAGCTCCTTTTGCAAAGAATTAGACAACTGGAAATTAGAAAGATTAGAAGGGAGTACAAAACACTTTGAAAAGGTGCCGGGCGCGGTGGCTCACGCCTGTAATCCCAGCACTTTGGGAGGCCGAGGCGGGTGGATCACGAGGTCAAGAGATCGAGACCATCCTGATCAACATGGTGACACCCCGTCTCTACTAAAAATACAAAAAATTAGCTGGGCATGGTGGCGCGTGCCTGTAATCCCAGCTACTCAGGAGGCTGAGGCAGGAGAATTGCCTGAACCCGGGAGGCGGAAGTTGCAGTGACCCAAGATCGTGCCATTGCACTCTAGCCTGGGTAACAAGAGTGAAACTCCGTCTCAAAATAAAACAAAAAAAAACAAAAAAAAAAACAAACTTTGAAAAGACAACAAAATGTTTTTAAATAATCTGGTCAATAAACATTCTAATTCTGAAGTTTGCACCTTATAAATTACTTTTACATGGTCAAAAGGGAAGGTGGCCTGACTTGAGCAAACCTGGGCTAGGTCCATCTACTTCTCCACATTTCCTTAAAGACCTACTTTAAAATTACTTCTTCTACAAGCCTTCCTTCCATCCCCCAACCTTGAGTTTGTTATTAAATAGCATCTTTTTACTTTAAATAAACAGGTAATTTGTTTTAGTAAATTACAGCGTAATTATTTAGCAATAAATGCAGAGTAAAAGATACATACCTGTCCTATTAAAAGGCCAGAGACAAAAGCCTTTCCTTGGAGATTTATGTTTGAAAGATACTGTCCCACAGTCTCTTCTACAATGTAGGTTCTTCCCATTTTGGGGACCTAAATTAATCTCCTATATTACAAGAAAAAAAAGATACAGCATTTTTAGGTAAAATATCATTTGCAATGTTTCTATAGTGGGAGTACTACAGCAAGAGAAGTGGTACTATCCTGATGCTATCACATGCCTTGCAGCAAATGCTTATTACATAGGGTATTCTTTCTTGCAAAGTTCAGATGCAGTTCCAGAGTTGTTCTCAGCACAGTGCAACAGGAAACAACCACGATCAACCAGAGTTGACATGAGAGCTCAAACTTTTTTCCCATTCCTGGGATAAGGGAGGGGATACTAAACTAGCAGGCAACACACCAGATTTCTTACTTTAGATCTACTCCTTAGTCTCAGTGTTCTCATTGCTTAAATAGTAAACATGAATTTCTGAATAGTTCATTGGGAGGCAGAAAGAATCAAATTCATTTACTTGATAAGCATATGCAAAAGAACTATACTATTTGCTTAGAAACTATGCTGAATGGGATAACACAAAGATGAGCACCATGATCTCTGTCCTTGAGCAATACATACTACAGCAAGAGTTAAGGAAATAAACAGCAATACAATTAACAAACATTTATATAGCTTCTAGTCTGTACAAGGCATTATTGTAAGTACTTTCCATGTAATATTAATAATTCACAAAACCTCAGGAAGTAGGTACTATTATATAATCATACTTTAATAGATGAAGAAACTGCAATGACAGAAGTTGATTAAATAACCTGCCAAAGTGGTTAGGTGGCAAAGGAGGGATTTAAATTCAGATACTCTGGCTCCAGAATTCATGTTTTTCAACACCATACTCATAATGAAGAATAGAAACCAGTTCCTCAATTAAATCATTACTAAGGGTAGCTCTTATGCTGCTTTCTCTCTGGTTTGTGGATGGAAATCAGTATATTCATTCCCTCTATTGGCTTATACACCTTTGATTTGCATTTCTGTAGCTTACAACCAAAGATATTGAATCAAAGAGTTAGGCAATATAATACATGATTAAATCAAGGAACTCATAAGCAGTGAGGATGAAAATGTAAAAGAGATGATATCCAAAAGAGCTATAAAACAAACAAAGACTGCAGGAACACAGATGCAGTATTTTGAACACTGCAATTTAGGAATCATCATCATTTGGGTTCAGTAAAAATGTGAATCTTATTCAGTACCACAAAGCTAAGGCTACTAGAGATATGCAAAACCATTTTGTGACTGACACATGTACTGGCATCAGATAGATCTGATTTTTGCATTTTAAAACTAAACACCAGAGTATGGATTAAGTTTGAAATGTCCTATTGGACACTGCTTAATTATTGTTGAGGCTTGTTCAGTTTTCTCTCAAAACACATTAATTTCTTCCTAGCTCTTTTTTGACAACAGTACACGTGAATCAGATTTGCACATCATGTTTTAGAGACGAAGTCTAGGAATGCTTATCTAAATATCATTCATGCCTCTATGAAGTTAAGGGTTTTTAATCTTTAGTAATACCTTCAGGTATGCATTTCTATGTATTAACTTTCCTCTACTTCGGTATAATATACTCGTTTTCCTTCTGCTCTAATAATTTTTAATTCTTGCAACAAATAGAAGTAATTCCAAAGTTATGATATTTAACCTTCTAACCTTATTTCTTCTAGGTGTCACCTTGTAACCATATTAATGTGTAAAAAACTGAATGCAATAATGAGACGAAAATCTATTCAATTATGAAATCTGATAGAATTTCAGATAATTTTTTCTTTAGTGCTCTTCAAAATTTTTAAATACAGTCAACCAAACTTTATAAAAGGTAGTACTAAAAATGTATACAGTCGGGCCAGGCACGGTGGCTCAAGCCTGTAATCTCAGCACTTTGGGAGGCCGAGGCGGGTGGATCACAAGGTCGAGAGATCGAGACCATCCTGGTCAACATGGTGAAACCCCGTCTCTATTAAAACTACAAAAAACTAGCTGGGCATGGTGGCACGTGCCTGTAATCCCAGCTACTCAGGAGGCTGAGGCAGGAGAATTGCCTGAACCCAGGAGGCGGAGGTTGCGGTGAGCCGAGATCGCGCCATTGCACTCCAGCCTGGGTAACAAGAGCGAAACTCCATCTCAAAAAAAAAAAAAAAAAAAAAAAAAAAATGTATATAGTCAGTCTTTTGTATCTGTGGTTTCTATGTCCACGTTTTCAACCAACCACAGATTTTAATTTTTTTTTAAAAAAGCATGATTGCACTTGCACTGTTAGTGTAAAGATGTTTCTTCTTGTCACGATTCCCTAAACAATATAACAACTACAGCATTTACATTGTATTAGGTATTGTATGTGACTTAGAGGTGATTTAAGGCATGCAAATGCTATACCATTTAACACAAGGAAGTAGAGCATCCACAGATCTCCATGAGAGTGGACGGGTGAGGGTCCTGGAACCAATGGCCCATGGATACCAAGGGACAACTGTATCTTGCCTCGCACAGTCATTAAGTTTCTAGAAACGTTGTTTATCGGCCAAAGCCCTTGTGATCCAAGCACTGTGACTGAAACAACTCAACGTTCCTGGACTCTGGTTTTCTAATCTATGAAACAAAGAATTTGGATCCTAGCAGATCTGAAAACCTATGTAATTTTAGGATTCTGTGAATCTAAGTACAGAAAATCCACATTTCCCAAATGACGGATCAACAGTATGATAATATTGTGAGCCTAGGACATAGCATAATACTCCATATACCAGCAACTTTAGTTACGGTGCTTACCTAAAAAATATTTTTTGGGAAAAAACCTTAAGCTCTGTTGCTGATTTATTTTTTTCTTAGTTATTACAAAATATCATAAAATGCTTCCATTTACATTTCTTAGACAGCCTCGCATGATTCAAAAGTAGGAACTAGAGAAAAAGAGAGTCAATTTCACATAAGAACTAAATCACCAATTCACAGAAGGCCCACGACTGTGGGAACTGCAGAGAGAACGACACTGGGAATGCATTATTTACAATCAATAATTTAATAAATTCTCCCGGAAGACTAATTAAACACGAAACGATCTACACAGATGGAGCTTTAAATTTACAGAATTATGATCTGGAAACGTACAAGTTGTTACTGAAGCAATCAAGAACATGCTTAAAAACTTCAGTTATGACAGTTTTCAATCTTAAATAGCATGTTAGGTAACTGTTTCTGCAAAGAAAACACAGGCTACACTCGAAGTGCTACTGGTTTCTTTTAATTCTCCTCAAGAATTAACCCGGCTCCTTAAATTCCTGAATCACTCAGTATCACCCCCCCACTGCCAAAAAGGTACGGCGTTTCACCCAAGGTGAGTTCGTCAGAAGTGTGTGCCGGAGTGACTGTCCACGTCGCCAACACTCTGTCCCTTCCTTCTTCCCCTGAAAAGGCAGCTGTGCTCCAGCGCACGCGCACACGTCGTACACTCGGGCTGACTCACCTGTTTTCGGAATGTGCCCTCGCGGCAGACAATACACGTCGGACTGTGCTTGCCGGAGACGGGGGTCCGGGTGCAAGTACCAGCCGCTGGCGGGAGGATTCCCTCTAGTCTCAGTTCACCGCCAATTAATTCATCAGAAAGCGACCTACTTCCCACACCTCACTTCCCACGCCAAAGCCAGGGTCTCGGGAGTCAGGTGGCGCAGACTGATGACGCACAACGCCCCCCTCCCTTCACCGCAGAGCCTCAGCCAAAGCGATTGCGGTCGCCACCCCGCCCCCTTCTGGGCGCCATTGAGAGCGTGGCGGTAGCCCGGAGCCTGCCGTCCGGCCCTGCCGGGACCGATGCCCTCTAGTGGCTCAGTGTCCAGAAGCCGCCCAAGAGGACGACCCATGGCATCCCGGGGCTTTGACGGTAAGGTCACCAGCTCCTCAGGGAGGACCGTGGGGTGACGAGTACCTATGTGGCGCCACCGCGCGGACAGCGGTTGAGCGACAGAGATAGGAGAGCCGGGGGGCGAGGGAGCGGGGAGAGAAGCGGAAACGGAAAGGGCGGTGCGGAATTGGGGTCCCGGTAGGGAATGAGAAGAGCACTACGTTTCCCAGAGGCCTGAAGTGGGTGGAGCTGGAGCCGGAAGATAGGGTGCCCGAGAGGCTCGGAGGCAGCCTCTGAACTCGGAATCCCAGGGTGCGCAGCTTCCGAGGGCTGCGCGCGCACTTCGGGCGCGGGCGGGCTGGTGCTGCGGTTCGGGCGCCGCCGCTGAGGCTGGACTCGATTTCCCAGGGTCCCGCCGCGGGAGTCTCCGGCGGGCTGGCGCGCGCGAGCCGCCGAGCGAGGTGATAGAGGCGGCGGCGCAGGCTTCTGGGTCCTCCTGGTGTCCGCCTTTCTTCTCCGCCTCTACCCCGTCAGCCGCTGCCCCTGGGGCTCGTGGCCCCACCGACATGGCGGCGGTGTTGCAGCAAGTCCTGGAGCGCACCGAGCTGAGCAAGCTGCCCAAGTCCGTCCAGAACAAACTTGAAAAGTTCCTCGCTGATCAGCAGTCCGAGATCGATGGCCTGAAGGGGCGGCACGAGAAATTCAAGGTGGAGAGCGGTGAGTGAGAGGCTCGTTCCGCCCCGGGTTCCGGGCTCGACTCCCGCTCTGGGGTCTGGGCGTCCCCCTCGCAAGCTGGAGCTGGGCACGACGCTTTTCCCCTCACTTCCTGGGCTCTGGGTAGCCTGAGCTTCGCTCTCCTGCTCCTCACGGTGGGATGAGAAGCCTTTTTGGAAGCAAATCTGAATCTTACATTTGGTACCGGTTTCTTTGTACTTAGGGACGCTTCTCTCTGTCGGGCAGACGGGAAGCCGACTTGCTGGGGTCTGCGACCCCGCGTCTCTAAGCCTAGAGAAGCTTGCATGCTCTGTTGCGTTTCGGCTGATGGTGACTCCGCCCTAGTTTCTAGTCACCTGCGTTCTAGGCCTTTGCCAGGCTGACCGCTCTGTGCACTTGTTCTCAGTGTGTGCGTCGTCCTGTGGCCCCAGAACGAATTCGACGTTTACAAAAATGGACGTGAGGTGCATAGGAGGACGGGAAACCCAGTGACCATGCAGTACATAAGTTTAACATATCCGATTTCTCTCACAAAGTTGGAGTTTGACAGAAAACGTTAACATTTTCTTACAATTACCTGAAGTAGGTATTTAAGTATGAAAGTTACTGACAATAATGGCTTGAAGATCCTTGAAAAAATATGAAGAATATAGTAATTACCATGAGTAAAATAGGAACTTCTGTTAATGTGTTTTGGTTTACCATTTGCTTGGGGAGGTTAATATTGTTCTTGCTGTGTTGGCTGGAAATTCTGAACAGGTTTTTTTTTTTTTTTTTTTTGAGACGGAGTTTCGCTCTTGTTGCCCAGGCTGGAGTGCAATGGCGCGATCTCGGCTCACCGCAACCTCCGCCTCCTGGGTTCAGGCAATTCTCCTGCCTCAGCCTCCTGAGTAGCTGGGATTACAGGCACGCGCCACCACGCCCAGCTAATTTTTGTATTTTTAGTAGAGACGGGGTTTCACCATGTTGACCAGGATGGTCTCGATCTCTTGACCTCGTGATCCGCCCGCCTCAGCCTCCCAAAGTGCTGGAATGACAGGCTTGAGCCACCGCGCCCGGCTTGAACAGGTTTTTTACTTCAAAAGAAGATGAACTGTCAAGCAGAATTGACCTTGAAAATTAGTTCTCAGATCCCAGAGCTGAGTATAATACGTTGCATTCTATTTATTAACTTGCTCGGTAAATATTGAGTGTCTTACATGTTCCTCATACTGTGCTGAGCATGATACTCAATTCCTTCCCTTGGGAAATTTACACAATTTACTTTTACATAAAGTTAGTAGTTTGATACTTTCAAGTAATATCTTGACTACTTTAAAAGAAGCCTTTTAAAACAAAGGAGTTTTTTTGTCTAAACAGTTTTTTCCCGTTTAATAAATACTTTATGGTAAGTAGTTTACTGATGTCTGGGGAAAATACTAAGATAAATCAGACATATTACCTGCCTTGAAGACACTCATTTGTAAAGCCCCTTTTAGGCCTTTATTTTTTATTTTTTGTCACGTAAGTCATTTGGAAATGCTATTAAGTCCCTTTCGGTGCTCAGTCTATCTTTACTCAGATTCTCTTACTTGGAGTGGAATTCTGATACTATATCTTAAATTTTAAAATCAAGGTTATTAGAAATAAATAGCAGTATTGACAATGTATGTACATGTGTTTGGTTTTTTTTTTGCTTGTCTGCTGCAGAACAACAGTATTTTGAAATAGAAAAGAGACTGTCCCACAGTCAAGAGAGACTTGTGAATGAAACCCGAGAGTGTCAGAGCTTGCGGCTTGAGCTAGAGAAACTCAGTAAGTATTTAATTCCTCTTTGTAGGTATTCTCGGAGTACTGAAATCTTCAGAGACTCCTTTATATACTTTGGAAACCTTTACCTGCTAAATATGAAAATATTGATTAAGCATCACTGGTTTTTGTTATGATACTTTGATTTTTCACTTAGTGGTAAAGGTTTTGTAAGAACACAGAGCTTAATGGTCAGGAGGCCTGGATTCTTACTCTGATTTTGCTGTTAAAAATGCTTTCGCCACGCGTAAATCTTAACAGTATCTGATTATTTATTTGGAGACAGAGTCGCTCTCTGTTGCCCAGGCTGGAGTGCAGTGGTGCAATCTTGGCTCACTGCAGCCTCCACCCATGTTCACATGATTCTTGTGCCTCAGCCTCCTGAGTAGCTGGGATTACAGGTATGCATCACTAGGTCCTGCTAATTTTTGTGTCTTTAGTAGATACAGTGGTTTGCCCTGTTGGCCAGGCTGGTCTTGAACTCCTGACCTCAAGTGATTCTCCCACCTTGGCCTCCCAAAGTGTTGGGATTACAGGCGTGAGCCACCGTGCCTGGCTGGCATAATTAATTGATATTCAATATAGTTCAGTTTTAATTTGATCAGTGGAGAAGGAACACAGGAAGTTCATAATCAAAGGAATGATTAAAATTGCAACTTTCCTTCTTAATGGGTCTGTGACCATGGACTGTTTGTTTAGGTTGTAACTTTTTTTGGGTACTTTACCTAGGCATAATAAAAAGATCTGCTTAGCAGTAGTGCTGATCAGTTTCAGAAAAATGACTATGAATACAGCTTTTACGAGATCTGGGAGAAGAGAAAACTATAAGGATGAACCTAGAGAAACATCAGATACCTTACTGTGGTATTCTGTTTGGGGGGGCGGGGAGAGAGAGAGAGAGAGAGAGAAAGAGAGTGAGAGAGTGTGTGTGTGTGTGTGTGTGTGTGTGTGTGTGTATTCTGGATTAGTAAGTCTGTTCTGGAAAGCAGTAAATAGTAAAACAAAATAGAAAATTTGTGATTTTTTTGCTTGAATAGTCCTCTTAAATAGAAGATTATAATTAATTTATTTGCTCATTGAATTGCCAGCATATAATAGAGATGTGTTTTAGTGAAACACGGTTTCAAAATGATATTTTTTGGAAAAATTTCAAAAATTATATTCTTTCTAGTTAGCCTGTGTTTAGAAGAGAAACTGTGTAAAGGAAAAGAGCCCATTTTCAGTGGAGATTGAGAGATAAGTACATTATCAAACATAATGCTTTTCTCTTTAAAGGCTCTCTTTATAGTGATAAAGATAGGAATTGCAAACATTATAGTGACTTGCTAAATATACACATGTTATATACTTTAAATACTATGTTCTCTCTTGATTCTATCTTTTTAACTCCTTATTGCCAAATACAGTTCGCTATTTCTTATGATACATGATATTCTAGAAGATGTTATTGAAAAATATCGGAATTAATTGCATATGATTTTTCCCATAAATGTTGGCTAGGATTATTGTGCATTTGATTTTGGAGACAGGACAGCATATTTAAAATTTTGGTCTAGAACACAGTAAATTTTGAATATATTCATGAATTTGGAATGTGATATACAATGCAGTCTTTCTGCACTTCTGTTTTTTTCATTTTTAAAATGTGTAAGATTGACAGTTATGTAAAAACACTCATTACAAGTTTTAAGCGAATGTGTATGTACGTGTAAAATTCTTTTTATCCAGACAGTCAACTGAAGACAGTAACTGAGAAAAACAAAGAACTTGAAATTGCTCAGGATCGCAATATCGCTATTCAGGTAAGAGATATTCCTGTGAATAAGCTAATTGTAAATATGTTATTTGAGAAAACTTTCTGTTCTGATTGTTTATCAGTTACTAGTCAATGGGAAGATATAACTGATATCCTATTAGGAGAAGTTACCAACAAAAATATGTATATGTACATTTTTTAATTGGCTCTTACTACGTTTTATTGATAGATTGGACATTTCTTTTACCCAATAGAAATTATCTATTAAATGCTTACTGTATTCTGGGTATTATACCAAATGCTGTGATCCAGTTGAGGATTTGGGTGAATTCACACTGGTAATCATTTTCTTAGGGCAGTTTTATTTGTAAGAATCACAGTTTGAATATGATCACAGGGATTGCCGACCAGTTTGTTTAGTTAAGTGGTCATACCCAGTTATTTTTTAACCAGATACAACTTTATACTTTTGCCATTGCTTTTTTAAAATTTGCATTTTATTTGGTGTTAAAAGATAATTTCTTCAAATTTCTAAAAGGCAAAAAAAATCTACTTCCAGAATCTGGATAGGAGCAGAAAAGCCTCACAATATACCTAGAAAGGCTTTGAAAGAAACATACTTAGGAAGAAAAATTCAGTACCCAAGAAAACTCAAATACTTAACCGAAAACTGTGAGAATGTACCTTTATAAATGAAGATATCACGTATTTCTGGATAGAAATGTTTTCCAAATTAATGTGTTGGTAATACATTTTGAATCTTAAGTCCAAGTCAAATAGCCAGAAACTTGTTAATGTAGGTCTAAAGATGATTGGGAAAATAGCATAGTAATAGATAGGATGCTTCTAAAAAGAAGAAGTATCAATTTAAAAGTCTTTG